ATTGCTGGTGATTGCTTCGTTGCATTTACATACTTACATAATGCTCGCCCGAAGTTGAATCGCTGGCGAAGGCAAATTCGATGGAAGTTATATGTGATTTGATTGGGAAAAGGGCGATAAACCAAATAAACCGTCATCCGAAATTTATAATATTGCAAAGTACTCTACGGTCATCAAAGCGATTATGCAAAAAAAAGGTTAATTTCCAAAGCACTCGAACAGCCCATTATTTCAATCGACGCTAATCGGTCATGTTCGATTCGCATTACACCAAAATCAATCAGCTTTAAATCACACACACACACACACACACACACACACACACAATTTCAATGCATGCCAAATTTATTCAAGACACACAATTTGGATCGATGTGTGTGTGTGCGCGCATGCTTCTTGCAATTTTTACTTGTCTCTATCGTTGTCGTGTTGTATGTGTCGTAGCAAATGGTTTTTATTTTATGATTGTTTCCATTGTTGTTGTTTTCTTAGCGGCTTACAACAATGCAATCATAATTTGCTGAAGAGAAGAAAAAAAAAGTCGCTTGCGCTTGAAATGAAAGAGTTGAGAAAAAAAAAACGAATGAATGAGAAATTTGCACGAAAAGTGGCAACACTTTTGCTAAATAATTTTCGCAAAGTGCGCACGCTTTCATATTTTTTTCGAGTATACTTGAATCGGCGTTAAGAGCTTATCAATTCGGGGCGAGTGTCCATTTGTTTGGCCCGCAGTGCAATCAAGCAATCATTTTAATTAGGTATTCACGTGTTCGATCAATTGTTGATCGGTTGTCAAAAGTTGGCAAACAATTTTAGTGGCTACTTATCCATAGATTTATCGCAATTGTTTTGTCGATTCAATCATCTATCGGTTGCGGGCTACCTTGAAGCATATTTATCGACATTTTTTATTTTTTGTTCCTTCCCAAAACCTCTAAACAGCCGCGTGAGTACCAAATAACATCGATCGTGTCGGCAATATATGTGTGTTTTTTTTTCTTCTCTTCTCTTTATTAGACTCAATCTCATAAAATTCGTTTCTCTTTTGTTTGTGGTCGGGGTTTTTTCGCGAGTACAAAAAAAAAACACACATACACGTGTTTGTGTGCTCGTTTTTAAGCATTCGGAAGTTGTAACAAGTTTTCGAAAGCGAATCATACTAATTAATTTAATTTAAAGGCGCTGAAACAATAATAGAGTCGAAAAAAAAACAAAAACAAAAAACAGCCAAACCAAACAACGAAAACCGGGCCACGACTAGACACTACACTCTATCTACATAGAAAGAGAGATGAATGACTATCTCGTGCAAGCACTGTCTTGATGGGGGGAACAAAAGAAAGGAAAAACCGCAACGATTCAATTCTTTTGTCTGTGTGTTTGTGTTATTATTTGTTCTTTTGGCACGAAAACGAGCCACAACATTTCATGAGCTGAGCATTTACATGGTTATCTGAGTCTGGTCGAATATCATAATAATTAATTCAACAAGATACAATTTCATTCAAATGGTTCTCTTTTTGGAAAACTCTTCCTGCACTGACCCGTTCGAGTCACAGCTACTGTGCATGTGGGTTTTTGTCTGTGCAACGATTCCATCATGAACTAACTAACTATTTAACTCATTCTTCATTTCCATTCTTCTGTCTGAAAGTGAACCGAAGCCAGCGAAAAGTGCAAAAATCCGAAAATCAAAGAATAAAATCGTCAGAAATTTCGTTGGAAGCCCGAAAAATGAAACCTACGGCTGAACAATGGAAACAAACAAATCATTTAAATCACAACTAAATGTTCGACAGCAATCGTTGTAAGAAAATGAGAAGCGAAATCCACCGTCATCAATAAGATATTGAATTAAATGCACGATTACTATTATTTGCCTCTAATCCCATCGTGTTCCATTCCGCTGATTATTGTTGTAGTAATTTCCATATTCTTTTTTTTATTTCTTGTCTTTTTTTCGTTCATCGTGTGCCTCTGTGCCTCATTCAATATTTCTGCGCGCTCGACTTAAGCTATAAACTTCAATTTATGATTCAAGATATAAATATTAAGAAAGCAAGAGAAAAAAAAAACAATTTTTTCTCCATTCTTTTCGAATAAAAAATGTGATTCTTTTGTTTGAAATCGGCATGAAAAGTGGCCGAATGACGGCGATTAGTCTCCAAAAATACAAATTTTTCTGGTGGCTCACAATCTCGACTGGTTCATATATTTTTAGGTGCATTATCGTTTTCCGGTTAGTTTTTTTTTTTTTTAATTTTTTATATTTTCTTCGACTGAATCTCCGCACGAAAGCCACATCGAATTGTTTCTTTTGCTTTTTAATCATTTCAACAATGGCATCGTTACAGCCTGACTGCGTTTTCCAAAAGGTCTTTGGTCAGATTGTTCATCATTTTGAATACGCTTCAAAGTGCATGGTTGAATGCGCAAAATAGTGGGCGCGTTGCGATCTTATTCTTTCATATTTCTTTTCTTTTAAGCCGCTCTGCCTGGGTGAAAGAACAATAAACAACGTAACAGCTAATAGAACTCATTGGTGCTGTTGCTGCGTTTGGGCATTAACGCATAAAATTGCTTTCAAACTCTTTCAACTCTTCTCGAAGGGGGCTGGTGTCTTGAATACTCTGAATTTGGTACCGTTTTGCTGGGTTTGTTTTTACTATCGGTTTTAATATGCCTTTCGAGAGGTTTGTAGATCGCTCGCGCGCGCACCATTCCAAACAATAGACATTATATTGTGCATGTGACGTGTCGTTGCACATGCGTTAATTCCACATCGAGCGAGAGGGCGACCGAGAGAGAGAGAGAGAGAGAGAGAGAGAGAGAGAGGGAGAGAGAGAGAGAGAGAGTGAGAGAGAGTGAGATAGAGAAAAGAGCAACAAATGCGCTCATAATAACAGAATGTCAGAGTCGTTTTGCTTTCTTTTGTTTCGTTGAATTTATAGTGCGACAAATCGTGGTTTGTGTGTGTGTGCTTTTATCGCTCTCGCTCACTCGATATGTATTGAAAGGGACACAATTGAATCAAAACGGTACTAGAAACGATGCGTTCAACTTTCGAATCGTCAGAGCTTGCGCGCGCGCACTCGACTCACTGTCCACTCGTGAATTCAATATCAAAATACGTGTTATGCACCACAACAAGCACACAATGTAGCAAATTCATTCGATTCCATGCTATCAGTTGGCTTTTTTTTTCATGACATCGCAACCAAAACCCAAATACCATAGTGTCACTGCTACAGCCATGAATGTCGACTTTTGATGGCCGAGGTGCAGTGCACTGTACATACAGTATACAATGTAGAAAAATGAAAGTGCATTCTGGTTCTGCTGGAATTGTGTCGCAACCGCAGGTAATTTTCAATTAAAATGACTCGTTAACGTTTCTAATTGATTTCAATTACCTTATTTTTGTTGTCAGTTTAGACAACGATGGTTGGGCTTCAATTCACTGACACTGATCTCCCCGTTATAAACGATTTATCATACTTCCTATCAAATCGACAAATTATCATAACAATTGATCGTATGTATATAATCGTACTTTGATTCGGAATCAAAGGAGTCATTCGAAGAAATCATTGCCTTGAAACTATCATCATACACAGTTCATGGATCATTGATATGGTAAATTAAAGACTTTATAAAAATTTTTAGTTGAAAAACATGAAATGGTCATCGTTATTCCACTACAAAGCAGTAGATTCATCAAATCAAAATGCTCATTAGAGCATAGAAACAAATTATATGTGTGGAATTGCTGTTTCAAATGAATGGCATGTACGAAGAGGATGGGCGCGCGCGCTCGATTTTGTGTCGTCAAACGAAAAAACGAAGAGAAAATAGTTGTGCAATTTACGAATCGGCAAGCATACGAAGCCCACCACACATATGGATTTTGTGTATGACAACCACGTATGCCGTTTTGTTAATAAATTTCGAAACCTTCTGTTTTGAAAAATAAATAAAACGATACACGCTAATCTGGTGTTCTGTGCACACACACAATAAATCGCATTGCGCGCAAATGAAAAGTACACACCAATAACAAGTGTCGTCGACGGCTTCGTCTTCGTTTTTTTTCACCGTCAACTCTCTCATGCTCGCATTACACACAAACACAGTGTGATTAGATTCCGTTTTGTCACTCGGCGTCAAATCAAAGTACATCCAACTTTTATTAAATAGCACACAAGTTGAAGCGAACGTAAAAAAAAAACAAATTAATTTCTTCTTTTTTTTCGGGGCTAGGCCATTTCACCAAACGACACACATCTTTATCGTTGTCGATTACCAATTATTACGTCTCTCCCTCTCCTTCGTACACCGAAAGCGTCGTTAATTACAAATTCACATAAAAATTGTGCACCACGTGCATGCACTGTCGTTGTCGTCGCCGTTGTCGTTTTGTTCACATTTCGCTTTTTTCTTTGCCATTCAAGGCGTATTGTACACGATAATTTTATAGAACAATATTTTTAGAGAGTTGCTCCAAAATAGAAACTCTGACAATGACAACGACATCGACAACAACGGTTACAACAAAAGAAATGAAAATACAACGAAAAAAAAGAAGAAAGAAATGAACAATAAAATAAAGCCAAGTTGAACATTTGTTTGGACACACTGATAGCATTTCATTTTGCGTCATAAGACAACAACGGTGACGACGACGACGGCGACACATTTTCTGTTTTATTTTTCAGAGTTGAAGCCGTTGTCGTTTGTTTTGTATACATGCGCGAAGATATTAAATGGAATAATTTGTGCCGATTGAAAGCGTTTATCGTTCGTTTGCCGCATCATTCTCGAACCCAAATTACATCATTGCCATTGTAAATCGTATTGTTGTTTTCGTTGGGCTGAATAATCAAAAATAGACAAGTGAGCGAGAGCATTTGTGATGCGCGCCTGATCCTAGGTTATCGACGCGCGCAGGGGGGTTTTATTGTAATATTTGCTCTTCGAGACATTTGTGTCGCTTGTGGCAAATGTTTTATGACAACGAAGAGACAAGTGAAGGCAAAGTGTTCCGCATCGTCGATGAGATTGGGTCAGGTGATGAAGTGATCGTGTGTGGATGATAAAACCAAAACAAAAACAACCAGCACACACACACATTGCCATTCAAATCCATGGCCAACACACATCACACTCTGCCTCATTAAACTCTGACCACACCAAATTAGCCGGAGCCTCTCTGTTGTGGATGCGCGAGCGCGCAAATATCATAATAATTGAAAAATATGGATGCATTTCAAATAGACCGAAACAACAAGCAAACAAAAACCGTCTGAAATAAACCGCGGTGTGTGAGTGATGTAAAAAAAAATGTCTTGCAATATATTTAGCGGCTTGTAAAAACCAAATCACACGAAGGTCAATGCTTATTACAATTTTTATTTGTCGATTTTTGAAAGTGCAATCATTGCTGCTGCTGCCGTCGCTGCGGCTGCTGTTTTTATTTCTTTCTCTGCCAAGCGATAAAAATCACACTGCTATGAACAATAAATGCGGGATATAGAGTGAGAAGAGGGAATAGAAATAACACAAAAATACAACGATTGAAATTGCACAATTTGGGTTGAGAATGACCAAAAGACGAGACTCACAACAACAACAACAACAAAAACAACAAAAACTATAAACAAATCGACATTTCATTACGCCAGAGAAGAAAGAAATGAAAAAAACCTCATTGACACGACTCAATCCGTTGATTGATGTTGGAAAATCCGCAAACGACATGCTCATTTGCCTTTGAAAGCGAAACATATACAATCACCCGAAAAATATCCATTTCGATAAGATGGTCCGGTCCCGTCTGACCGTTTGTTTTGGTTTGAAACAAATGAAAACTATTTCCTTGAAATGTCTACCATGTCCATATATTACCAATCACTTACCGCATCTCATTTTGGGCTAGTTTGGCCACGAAGAATAGATGATGAGTTTTCCATGCACACCAAAATGGAAATTACAGTGGGACAACGCGCGCGAGCGTGATCCGTTCAATTGAATCCAGTTGGATTCACGACACATGGTTTTGATCATTATTGGAGATGGATGAGCTCACGATTCAGCCGATTTGATGTATGTATTAAGCAGCAAATGGTGATGTGTGACTATTGATTGATACACTCGAATCGCGCGCTCAACGACATACAAATTCAGCTTCTTTTCTCCCCTTGACACTTGAGCGCATTGCACCAAAATCGACGAACGATCCAGACACGATTGGCTTTTCAATAAAATTGAATAATTGAGTGCTAGTTCGATAAAAGAGTGCCGATTATCAGTTCGTTTGTCTATCTGTCTGTCTGCAGCAAGACTGTTATTGTTTTCATTCGGTTTCGGGAGGCAGCGGCGAGCACTCGAGTAAGAGAGAGAAAGAAACAGAAACAGAAAGCGAGAGGGAGAGAGAGAGAGAGAGCAAAGAGTCGGAGGGAGAGTGATCTGAGCAGAAAGAAAAAGAAAGAGCCAGAAAATGTTGTTGTTGTTGTTGTTATTACAATAAATTTTCCAATAGATTCGTGCGAAATATCGAAAAACTACAACTGTTATTATTTGTTTTGATGTTGGTTATTTGGAAATTCAATCTTTTCCTCGTTCGGATTTCTCTTTTTCACCTCTCGATATTGTGCCAGAGTCGTTTACTCGTCAACAAATCAGATATTATTGTACAAATGAATGAAGAAATGAGAAAAAAAACCAGCCATTTGTTGTTGTTGCTGTTGCCGTTTTTTTTCTATATATATATATATGTATTTAGAAAATTTAATGGAGAAAGCATAAAATCTTATGCGAGACGAGCTAGATGAACGCATAACAATGATCATTTCGGTGGTGTTTAATGCGTTATACACATGTGTGTATAATGTATATGCTTGAATCGAGCATTACTGCGATGCAATATGTTCTGATTAATGGAAGACGCGGTCAGAGAGCGCCAAAAATTGATTTCCCTCGACGAATTCATATGGTTTTTCTCTTTTCGAATAAATGCCAACACCTGTACCAGTCGCTTTGTACATCGTTTAACATTGAAATCGCTCAATTCGTCGAAATATGCAATAAATCGATTCACTACTCCACATAAAAGCGAATACACACATTGCTAGTTGGTTGGAGAGAAATATGATTATTTTAGCCATACGCATAAGTTATTTGAGTTTATGGCGGTAATAAATGAATAATTCCATGCTTTATGGGCATTAAACACTGCGCGCACATGCATATTCGATCTATGCGCTTTTTTTCTCGTCTTTTTTTCATTTTTCATATTTCCATTTGCACACAATGCGAGAAGCAGTACCTAAAGAAAACTCAAATACACACATTTACAATTGTTAAGCAAATAAAGCACGAGAGTAATGTAATTGATATTCTTTTGGGATTCTGCTTAATCTTGGTGTTGCGCATCGATGGAGGCAACGAATTCGTTTGTATGAAAGACACACATTATGGGTTTTTCGCTGAAAAAAAAAATAAGAAAAAGCGACGACGACGACGACGACTATAGCAACAACAACGAATTTAGCGATAGCCTACAATCGAGATGCTCATTTCCATTCACTAGTTTTTTTTTTCATTCGTTTTCGTCGGTGTGGCGCGAGCACAATTTTCGCTAGTTTTTTTCTCGCTCCTCTAATTGGCTTTGTGTTGGGCCACAAACGCCAGTTACACTTTACGAACAAAATTGCAATGAATGCAGAGACAGAGTAACGAATCAAACACAACACAATAGAAACGAAATATAGGCACGAACTCACGCCTCGGCTCCACTTAGTTCGAGATCAATTTTTTGGAGGCGATAAAACTGTAATATTGATTGTGATTGCTAAATTACTATCATCTCTTACATATAGTATGTTATACGGCTCTTATTTTTCTATCTATCTCTCGGTATTTTTGGCTGCATGCAAACGGTTTTGCCACGAACTCGTGAGAGAAAACGCCTCATCTCGATTTCTTTCACTGCACCAGCAACAGTCGAAGAAGAGAAGCGAAAAAAAGTCACGTCAACATCGACAAAGAGAACTTGATGCAATTGAATGCATTGTTGTGTGATTGTGAAAAATTGGCTTGGTGATTTTGGAGCTGCCAAATCGAGAAACAGATCGACAGACAATCAGACAGATAGATGCGTCACAACGGCCAATCTGCTAGTGCAGAAAAAAATAGCATGGATTATTTAGTCAGTTGCTGCAATAATCACGTTGAACACAATAAATTCATCAAATGCCGAAAATTTCCGTCGAAGAGGAAAAAGTGGCGAAATAGCTGCAGCCGCAGCGGCAAAAATCGTGACCAAAGGGATATTGCAACTTTTTTGACCAGAAAAAACGCCATCTTACGTCGTGCCCGTAAATTATTTTACTGTACATTTCGATGGTAGAGCTTGAACAAAAGTTCAACACTATGAATAAACTTGGAAAGAGCTTGATAAACTTGATGAAATACATATATTTTATGGTAGTTGCAATACCCCTATGATCGTGACGACTGCAATTTGAAAGTGTCGACCAATTTTCTGTTGTTGTTGTTGTTGGATTTTGATAAAATCCAATTTTGAGTGCATCACGAATCGAATGCTAATGTGACGAAATGTGAACGGATCGGCCAAATAAAGTGAAGCACTTCAAATGACAACTCAATAGCAGCAATTATTGCACGTCATTTCACAGGAAATCTAAATCTTGTTTTTGTGTGTTTGTGTGTGGCACGCGAGTAAACATACACAAACACACACCGCTGAAAGCAATTAAATCAATTTGATATGCGCTGAAAATCGTGTGCGAAAGTGAAGAAGAGAGAGAAAAAACCACGAGCCGACAAACGGTAACATTGTCATTTGCATGCGCGCTTACCATAACAGCAGCAGTAGCATCAGTAGCAGTAAGCAACCGTCGTCTTCTTGATTCCGACCTTAAACTCTATTCATGCGTAACGTGATTTTTTTTTTTCTCTTTTTGCATCATCTCTCTATTAAGTCGATCAATTTTGAGTTGATCTCTTTCGTTTACGCGATACAGAGCAAAGCCAGACGCACGTATTAACAATCGCACTGAATGTGGTACAATTACTCATTTGCTTGTTGATTACGATGATGCGCACAATCATGTGGCCGCCAGGAAATCAAACGATAGCGAGATAATAACGCAACAAACCATTCATTACAATTGTAAAGCGAAATATAAAAAAAAATCCGATTGCCAAATCAAACAACTGCTGCTGTTATTGCTGCTGGAGAACAATCGTGTAAACAGAGAAGAGCAGCAGTAGAGCCAAAGCAATAACATTTCTTTCACTTTTTCAATGTGAGCCACACGTGCGCAAAACTAAACACACAGAAATATCATTGTTATTGGCTCTTCGCTAAAACCCATTAATTGAGTGTCGGAATCGTCTTTCCTTACATCTCTTCATTTGACGCACGCTTGTTTGTGGAGGGTCTTTCCTCTTCTTTTTTTTTTTGCACAATTTCAATCGTTGCATCTTGTGCTCACCTCAATTGCTTGATGTGCAAAAATATTGACGTAATCATAGTGCAAAATCAGCGTCTATCTCCGAATCGATTGATAGCTGTTGTATCTGCACTAAGTATACTGGCGCAGTCGGTTTATTTGTGGAATAAACAAATTTTAATTGGATAACATTCGAGTCTAAAATGCATATCACCGTGGTATCACCATCACTGAGAGAGTAAACAAAGAATCACGATGTGATCTGAAGCAATATATTATGCGAAAACCGTGTGTGTTTATGCTCAAGTCGATTTCGAATCGCATTTTGGAGAGTGAATTCACACCGTGCACTCTCATTCATTTTATCATTGCTCGATTCTCGTCTATTATGCCATATGCAAAGCTCTGATGCGTTTGATTCTCTCTCCCTCATTTGTGTAATATCTCACTCTCTTTGCAATTGCGGTTATTTCATCATTTTCGTGGAAAAGCAAGAGTAAAATCGATAAGACGAAAAACAAAGCAAATAAAACACGCAAATATGGGAGAAAGTAAACACATACGCATCTGCAAATAATTCAGTTGACAACGACGTTGATCGATTCTCATTTACTATACCCGCTCGCTCTTTATCTCTATCACATCAATATATCTGTTGATTGTATCCGACACAGCGCGAATTTCTATTCTTAAGAATAAATATCAATTCATTCGGCGATTACAGGTTTCACGTTCAAATTGATCATGTGCGAAGTTATCGCACCGAAACGAGTTTTTTTTTAAATTCTTCTCTTTATCACATTTTGCAATTGTCACACGCGATTATTTTTTTTTTTGCATACCGTTTAATTCACACAGAACATACAAATAATATAGATTCGAACCGAAAAATTGGCATGTTTGATTGCAACTTGCTCCAATAAAATCTTTTGGGAATAAATCAATTTCGGTGTTTGTTGCCGTTGTTGTTATTGCCACAAAAGATACACAACGTCCGCATTTATTTAGATTGCCATCGATTTAAAAGTGATTTTACGACGATGATGGTGATGACGACGGCAATAATAAAAAAAAACCAGCAATTCCGATTCCGTGGCCTTCGCATAGTATTAATGGCACATACCATTTGGTTGTGTTTAGATAAAACCGGAATTTGTTTTTTTTTTGTGTGTGTGCTCTTGAGATCACTTGTGACATGATCGCTTACAACTGTTGCAGCAGCAGCAGCACGTCTGCTTCCATGACGTTGCCTCGAAATTCAATCATTGCTCGATCACGCTCACGCTTCGGCCTCTTTGTCACAGAAATGACAATAAAAAATAACCATTTACAATTGAAATCATTCAATCATACGCACTTCATTACACAGTTCAATGCGTGATGATGAACTTTGATTAAGATACAAACTCAATTGGCCGTTCAATATTTGTTATTCGCATTTTTATGACGCCACTAATTTCATTTCAAATAACTCAATCGATCTTTTGTTTTGAATGTTGACAGAGCGTGTGCTTGTATTGGACGCCCTTTTGGAACTTTCCATTCGGTTTCTATGCAAGGTTTTTATTGCCTACTTCAGATCTTTGAATTGCAAATTCGGGCAATTCGGGTGCGGAAACAACTTCTCCGAGAAATGAAAATATGAAAAGATGTTTTCTTCGGTCGGTTTTTTTTTGTCATCTGAATTTAATTCACACATTTTACGAAAGGAAGAAAAAATATTAGGTAAAGTTCAGTCGCAACTATTAAACGGAAAGTCAAGGCAAAGCAAGGCGAATGGCAAAAGCAGTTTCGTTTCAAAAACGAAAAGAATTGTAAAAAAAAAACAGCAGAGTAAAGAATTGCCATAGGAAAGTTTTATGTGACTGAACAAGCTGAGAGCATATGGTCATTTTTCGAAATTCGACGAACACATTTTTATATGCTGCCATAAAATTATGGTAATTTGTAATTCTGCGATGTCTTGATATTGTAGTGCAATACTTCCTTACTGGCTTAGCCGATTAAATTAGAGAAAAAAAAGAACAGCGGCTCATTAATTAGCCCGCAAATGCATCCAACTAAACAATATATCTGGAATTCCCCCCTGTAAAACCAACGAAATTTTGGTAGCTGGATAGCCGTGTTGCGATCTCGATCGCACACACCCTGCATAAATCATTCGAGCGGCAGCTAGAACAGTTCAGCTCATTTGAACTTTATCGGATTGCGTCATCTGTTTGTTGATCATTCTTCTTCTTCTCCGTTTTCTCTCTCTCTCTCTCTCTCGCTCTCTCTCTTTCTCAATTTTTATTTTTGAAACCATACGATATTCTACTAACTGGTTGGACAAACAAAGCTGATTCCATAAAGATCGTTTGTACTTAGGCGCTGCTTGATCATAACATAAATTTTCTTCGGCGTTGTCAAAAGTGTCTTTGGGTATAACAGATATATGCGATGTGACATAAACAGAAAACAAACAATTGATAAACAAACAGAAAAGACACCGGAAATTTTCTAGGCGAATGTTTCTTCTTTTTCTTTTTTCTCTCATGGAACATTTTCACTTTCTGTTTGTGACGGAATGGAGAAAAAAAAGTTGGTTGCTAAATAATTACGTTCGCTGATCGTTGCTCGCGCTGCCTGCCGACCGATCTAATAATAGGTTCTATTGTGATCGTTATCGAATTGACATTTGTCACATTTACAACTATGTCCGGAGAGGGGAAGGGCGTTGTGTCAATCAAATATCGATTTAAATAAATTTTCGTCACTTGAGACAAGATACACGTTGTGAACGCAATCGCAAATCAAACACACACTCACACACGTACAATCAGAGAGGGAGATAGAGACAGAGATGCCCAAAAACAGAGACCGTGTGCGTTTAACCGCACTGAAAACAATTTAATGGCGAATGATTTGTAATCATTATTATTTAATTTCCTTTCGTTTAGTTCTCTTTTTTTGTGATCTAAAGTCATGAGTTTCGATGAGAAGAACTGAGAGCGAAGAAACAAAAATGAAGAACGAAACAGGGAAACAGAAAAAAAAGCAACAACAACAACAAACACACGAACAATCGATTTAAAACTGTTCTGTTTGAATGTAAGAACAGATATATATTATGGAGACACAATGCGTCATCGCAATACCAAATGCAAATAATAAATGATTCTTCAAATAGAAAAAGAGGAAGCGAAAAACCACTGAACGACACAATAGTGTACATCGGGGTTTTATGAAGAGAAAAAAAAAGCATTAGAGAAACAAAAAGAAAAAATAATAACAAATGAATGAATGGATAAAAAAAGACCAACAATCATACAGCGCGCAATGACTCATTCATTTTTCAGTGCAAAGGAAAAGGTAGAGGAAAAAAAGCCAGCAACACACAAATCAAATGAAATTACACGCTGGAGTTTGAATAAAAATAAGTCGCATTGAAATTAAAAAACTCGTGAGTGAACGTTCTTTTTGCTTTTTGACGATGACGACAGCGGCGGCTGCACGGATGGCGGTGGTGGCAATAGCACCACAGAGCGATGAGCGAACGATTGAGCGTGCACACGCTCACTCGCTCACGTTGTACTTACCATTTTTTTTGCATTATATGCGATGCAGCCAAATAAAATGAATCGCCGCGCGATTCACATAATCCGTCTGTCGAGAGAGTTATCGCTACGAAATGAATTCAGTCAATCGCACACCACGCCATGATGTATGGGCCACCACCAATCGTCATCATTCCTTTCAGTCAAGAGTCCGAACTGATTACATTTCAAAGATAGACGACCATCGAGTCGCATCATCGATCGTCGCATGTCGTCAGTGTGTCCAGTATGTGAATGCAATCGAAAATTTGTTGATTTTTCTTTGTCGATGTGAGTGAAGCTTAATCTTGATAATTGTCCATGAAATCGATTTTAAACTTAAAAATTGTCCATGATGGTGTTTGATAAGTGAACAAAAACATATTTGATTTAAATGAATCATCAAAAAAAGAAAATATATCTTCATTCAATTGTTGCGTGATGCGCTTAATTTCAATGTGTGTATGTGTTGTTAGTGTGCGTGTGTACGCTACCAATAATTGCAGTGCCTTGAGGCTAAAATGAACGTTACCGTTTTTTACTTTTAATGTTGAAATTCATCTCGGCTCAAAATATCACCTCATTCTGATTATGTAATCGAAACTTATGTGTGTGTGTGTGTGTATGTGTGTTGAAATGCGATCCTCGCAATTTATCCAAATGATTGATTCACGTTGGTAGTCTTCTTGACGAATACCGAAAAGAGAAGCGAACAACAGCAACAACAAATTATATTGTAATCTCTGTTCACACAAACATTGTGTGATGATTGTTTCAATTTTGCATGCTATTTTTATTCACTTGCCTTCATTGCAGAAGAAAAAGAAACAGCATCGATCAATCTTGCGATCGAAATAAATCAGATCTTGAATATTTGTTGTGAATGTCCAGTTCAGCAGAAAATACCGACGATTTGATTAGAAAGACGGGCGGAGTGTGTATGTGAGAGAGAAAATGACGCGTATTTACCAGTTTGCATTGCAACTAACACATAATGCCAACACCACATTTGTCATAACAAAGCCATTATTGAGTCACACACGGTGATCGATTTTTTTTCCATCATCATCTTCGTTTGTGCCTGAAACGAATCGATAAAAAAAAATACACAAAACAATCTCGATGGAGAATTGAACATCTCTCTCTCTCAAGCACCGCAGTTCATAAACACTTGTCATAAAAATATCACGGAAAAGTCGTTGAATAGGGCGAAAAAGAAACAACAACCGTTTTTTCATCTCTGCGCGAATATTTTGCAGTCTTATTCAACGAATCGATCGTCCGCCGAACACAAGTGTTTTTTCTTATCTCGATGCTTGGAGAAATGTTTCAAAATATTTTAATTGCAACTTTATGTTGCTCACTTTTTTTTCTCTTTTAAATTTGCGCAGAAATCAAAGAAAGTGAAATGAATTAATTATAGACGGTTTTTTCTTGTTTGAAAACCTGACGAAAACAACGACAACGACGGCACATTGAAAGAAAGTTATAAATTATAAAGTAAACTATCACATTTGATATAATAAAGTGATATAATCGAGTGATTTGGTCGGAATTTATTTGATTTTGTGCTTTTGTGATTGGAACTGAATGGAAATAAATGGGTGTTATCGATTGATTAAATCAATTGAAATCAAGTCATTATGTCTTTTGAAAGATATGATGGACGATTTGTTATCAGATGTGATGGTAATTTGATGATGAGGAACCAACGACACCCGTTGTTCAAATAGATAAAGTGTGATTGGATCATCGTTTTCGATTTTCGTATGGTATCGAATCGATCGAAGGAAGAAAGTCTATGAGGATATTTATGAACTTAAAGGTTAATAGACTTAGTGTGCCGTGTGTAATTCGAACAACAGTGTGAAAGTGAGATCCGAAATCAAACGCGAAAAAAAACCCAAATCAAATCAAATCCGCGTGGTGAGAGCAATGCCCGAAGCAGAGATACCGACATTTCTCCAGTATGGCAGTAAAAGCAAAGAATCGCCGACGATTGTGATAGTGGGTGATGGTCGCAGTCGGGTGCGTAAAGTGGTGCGAACACAAACGCGACATGTAACCGTTGTTAGTTATACGTCGCGTCACAAGGAATCCAGCACTCGTACCAGCCATCATGTGACAACAGTCAGGTAATCGAATTGCAAACACCTTTGAAAACAAAGAACAATGCGCGCGATCATGATTCGCTCGTTCAACTCGCTGCCTCAGCTGAGGCAAATTTAGAAAAAAAAATTTCGAACGAATTGAAAAACACTGAACAAAACCGCATTAAACAAACAACACTCAATAAATAAGCGGCCATTTAACTCGGCCATTCATTTAGCAACGATTCTGGGCTATTTTAAGACCATTGTTTCCCCACCAAAAATGGAATGATTTTAGCATTAAGAGAAACGATACTCGCGAGAAATCTGCACCGGTTGCTGCTGCTGTCGCCGCTGCTGATGATCATCATGATGAGTATATTATAAAGTTTTGGCGCTGTATGAGAACGTTTCCTCTTCATTGTTTTGATTGCTGTGCTTTTGGCCATTGTTTTATATAATTTCTTTGGGTTTTTTCTTTCATTCATTCTGAATAATCCGCTTGTCGGTCGTCGTCGTTAGCCCCGGAATGGATTTGCTAAACAATTTACTTATTATTTAAATGATACGTGGTCGTGGTGCGTTTGTCATTCGTTGTCTTGAGCTCAACGAGCCAAATTTAAAATCGTTTCTCATCTTTTTTTCTTCCTTTTTCTCTGTCTCTCGATTTGTCTGCTTCCATCGCAATTCACATTCATTTCGATGGGAATTCGTTGGAGCGAAGCAACGTTATGAAATCGATATGAAAACTGCATTTTAAAATGTTTGTCAGTGGGCTTTTGTTTTTTTTCGGTTGTTATTGCTGATGGTGATGGTGATGTTGTACAGAAAAATCTGAATCACACGCTGCTTGCAGTGCCCAATATGGAAATAACTTTGGCGGTGATAATATTAGAAAGACGTTTGTTGCCATCGAAATAATTTTCTTCTTTTTTTTTCTTTCAAACATTCCACCATGGCAGCAACGGGGCAAATGAAGTTGTACATTTTTTTTTTGGCGAATCCAATAAATCAGGTGATTGCATCTATTTAAAAGGCAAATCATCTTCGTGCGCCGAGCGCATATTTCGAAAACAAACAACAGCAACAAAATTATGACAGTTTGAAATGTTTTGAATTATGCACACGAGCACCGCATACTTCACAATCATAAGCGTACATTTCAATTGTTATGCGGTCGCCAGACACATTGATATTGACGTTTATCGTTTCGCCCGGTGGATTTTCCACGGCGCACCATAATTGGCTTCAATATTTTCAAGAGACTGCTGCTGCTGCCTGCCATATTTTTTTTACGAAATTCTATCCGTTCGCTTCGTGTTTGATTGTGCAAAAAGAAACGAAAAAATACGGTGATCCATTGCCAAAGCACGGCCACTGGCAAAACACTCACACACAATGCCACGCCGAATGCAGCAGCGTTCGCAACAACGTTCAGTAGTGATGACTATGATGATGATGATGATTCATAATCACTTAAACGTTTAGATCACTTAATAAATGAACCTAGTACCTGACTCGAGTACGCTAATAACAATTTCGTGGTTTGTTTATTTTTACAACTTCATTCGTTTGACGTGGTGGCGGCGGCTGCAGTGCGTACGTGCGACTGCCACTATTGCGAACGTGAACATGAAATTGAAGAGACTTGTATGATGCAAAAATTACATGAAACGCGCTCGACTAAGCGTTTAGAGAAGAAAAAAAAAATAGCGATAAAGAACTAAACCATTAGGCAAGCAGCAAATAAATCAATCGCGATGTACTCTTTACAAATTCACACAGTTCTCATGCTCGTCCGTATTCAAGGGACGCGCCCGACGCATCAACCGTACAAAGTGCAAAGTGTATTGAAAATGTCGACGTTCACATTTGTCAGTTGAGACTGAATGAAACTTCACCTCGTATTCTCTTCACATTGGCGAACATTTGCAAACGGAACAGCGAAGAAAAAGAAATACAACAGCAACGAAAAAACACACAAAATGCAAAGAAAAAAAAATCGCAAAATTGCCAACAAATGTTGAAAACAAGTAGCGAGCATAGCGCAAAAAATAATAATAATAATAATAAAAAGATACTAAAACACAACCTTGATAATTATTCACATATATAGAAAATTGTGACTCAATTTTCTATAGAATTCACTCTATCTCGGTCTGAGGGGAGAGTGTTTGCGATCGACACGGAATTCGGCAAATTCAACTTGTTGAATGTCGACACTGAGAGAACTTGACTCGGAATATATCGATTATATGCAAATATGCGTCATTCACTGCAAACAAAATTACGAGACAAGAGAATTAATCGATTTGACTTGGTGGAGAGTGTTTCAATTGTCGCCGTGTGAGTGAGTGTTTGCTTGTGACTCGTGTGTTATTCAAGGGTCATTTCGGCTAGAAATCGAAAACAGCGATGCAATCAAGTAAATAAAAACACACATTGCCGCAAACTGGAACTAGTTCAATTTCGAAGCAAGTGAATTTTCATGTGACTAATTTGTATATTCCGTGCTCATTACTCATTCTCTCGTTCGTTGTTACATTTTCTCGCTAAAGCGCAGTTGTTTGGTTTTTTGTTCGTCATTTGAACGGATTGCTTAGTTGCTTTGGGATGAACATTGATGGCGTGACAATGCCATGTGTAGATGCGACAACTTGCGGCTTGCACATTCGTTTTTTTCTTCTTCTCGTTCTTCTGTTGTTGTCACTTCACAACAATATGTTGCTCATTCCAAAATTTGTTGAAATAAGTTGCTCGGTTATGTTATGTTTTCTTGAAACAAAAATTCTCCTGAAAAAAAAAACATCGACTAAATGGTGTCAGCGTTTGGCGTGTTAATTTCCATTTTCATTTTGTTTCTCGTTCATTTCACTTGTGCAAAATTCGTGGGTTATTCGGGTTCTCATTAAAAGCAAACACACAAAACGAAACGAAACGAGAAAAAAAATTGGGATTAAATTAGTGCAGCGCAACGCGCTCGCACTCACACACATAGTTGTGTTTGCTGTTTGAAGCCAAAGCTGTGCGCGATCAAGTGAATTTGAAGAACAAAAATGTATTCGCTTGGCATGAAAACGCGTTTTACATTGTCATACTAGTCAATGGATTCTATTCTATCGCAGCTTCGAACTGAGTGTGAACGACTTTACCATTTGCTCGTGGACTTGTCACAGTTACTGTGACCGCAACCGCTGCTCTTTTTTTTCTCTGCTTCTCTTGTCATTATTTGTTTTTCGTGAAAACGGAGTTTAGTTTACATATATGGCGAAAATGGCTTATGCGTTATGGCTTTGACGTTAAGAGACCAAGTTAAACATGTGTGTTTGCTGCTGCTGTTGTTGTTGTTGTTGATTTCGTTTGAAATCGCGCGCTCCATCCAAATGCTGTGCGCATACCACAACAGTTTATTCATTTACTGAAGCACTTACCAAATTTGGTTTGGCATAATCGTTGTTAATTGCAATTAGCGATAAAAGCTGATCTCAAAGCACACAGAACGCAGCAACGGCACGCTCATACAACTCCAAACTTGACGAGTGACAGAGAGAAATGGAGAGAGAGAGAGAGAGAGGGAGAAAAATTGACATAATAAATCAAACTGGAGTTTGATTAAACCATCAATGGAATACTGAATTGAATCGCCATTGAACGGGCACTTTTCCAATGAAAAATATCCATTCATTCACTACTCCGTCGTAATCATTTTTTTTTTGCTTCGTTTGAAGCTCACCAGTCAGTTGATGGGTATGATTTGTGAGCAGTGAGCACACTGTTTGAAGTCGGTGGGATTGTTCGAAGAAATGAAATGAAGGGAAAAAATGTGTGTGTGTGTGTGTGTGTGTGTGATTAGAAGCGAAACGCTTGCATAAACCGAAAATAGATATAGAAAACTGATTACGTATTATTGCGTGCGTATATGTGGAACTGATTCAGTTCCATATGCCATGGTTACGCTTATCATTGATGTTCACGTCGAGACGTTGTGTGTGTGTGTGTGTGTGTGTGTATTTTGGTGCGCGTGATTCCATCGGTTAACTAATTCAGTGTGTTGCTCGAGAGCACGAATATTGCACTGGTCATTGCTGCTGCTGCTGCCATTGTTGTTGTTTTCTCTATTCTAATTTGAGTAAAAACATGAATTTACGTTCCAAATCGCAATTTTCGAACAGAACAGAACAGAACTATTTCTGCGAAAAGAATGTGCTTTAAACAAAAATGACAAACCGGCTGATAATATGCCAATACTTGTCTTCGATGTACACAGCCAGCGACTGTGTCTATATTCTGGATTCGCACGCGACAAAAGTGGAACACCTTAGAAATGAAATATGAATGTTAATGCACATACAACGTAGTGTGCGGTTTGTGTATGCGCGCGCGCTGCTAATTTCTGCCGTGGCCAGAATGCCCGTAAACACCGTTCGTTTCGCTAATCTAGCGAAACGAGATTGGACAATGTGTATATTTAATATACGCTTCGGATATGTGTACTTTTTTCTTCTCCTCTATTTTGCTTCTTTTCTTCTTCTTTTATTTCGTGTTATTTGTTGGGTTTGTCTGTTTATTGCATATGTGCCGATCAATGAAACGTGCAGTTAACGGTTGTTGTTCATATCGATTTAGAACATTGCTCTAAATTTTTGAGCACGCTTTGCCCGAAATCGACAAGGCAAAATAACGACATCACGACTCTCGTCTTTGCCATCGAGCAATGAGAGAAAATAAAAACCTCGATTCATCAATTCCACGAGAGAAAAATGCAGTAATTCAAATGGTCATTCGGAATTCCAAAGAAGAAATTTTCAAACCAAATAAATCCATGGATGCACTCTTAATTAATTTAATGAAAGCAAAAGTCCAAAGCGAACAAATGCCGTGTACGTGTGTGATTTTGCGTTGAAATGCATTTCATTAAAATCCGACCTCTATGTGTGAAAATGCAATCAAAACAACAATAACAGAAGGAAGAAAAACAACGACACGTGCAAACTTTTCCAAAGTAATTCACCGAATTGTATAAGTGTTTGCCATATATTGAAGTA